GCTTTTTTTTTCTAGTCTGATTAAAGTAAGAAGTAAAGTAATTTTATTAGAAATAGATTCAAACTAAACTGCACCAAAGGCACGGTATATTTTGGCAAAATGATTTTTACTTTTAATGCCCATGGATAAACCAAACAGTTCCTGGGTAATACCCATTTTTAGGAATTAAAAGAAGGGCTGTAAAATATTACTTGTTTTCGCTTTATTTTTGCGCGTTTCGTATATTAAGAAAATTGTCAAAAAGGAGGTGCTGTAAATTCAAAACTAGTAATTAAATTAAAAAAGTAATATTATTATATTGTCTTTGAACTAACTCGATGTAAGATGGGATAATTTAAACCCTCTTTTTTGGGGGGTTTTCCACATTGCCGAAACCACTGTGGCGGCCCAGCTACGTCGAAACACCGGTTCCCATTAGAACACCGAAGTTAAGCGACGTAAGGCGATACTAGTGGATGGACGAGTGACCGGTTCGAAACTATGTATCGTGCTGTTGTCCAATAAAGGCAAAAAGTGCAAAATCTATTGACACACACTGCTCATTCACGCCGGTTCGAGGCCGGATGAGATCGAATATCTCGTGAGTAAGAGTCGATTTAGTCACTTGCCAAGTGGGTAGGCCATTGACCATGATATGGCCGAGGACCGCGGTTCGGATTCCGCGTAAACAAAGTAGGCCCCGTCCAGATTAGCCCTGGCAGCAAAAAGGAGACGTTAACTGAAATCTTTACTTTCTTCCATTCATAGATAATGTATTTTATTTATGTTTTAGCTCTGTAATATTAAATATCTTAAACTATTCAATCTTGCATCTCGGGAGTTTTGCGAGTTTCCATCAAAATAAATCTTCTATTCCTGTAAAGTTTAGAAAATGACTTATTGATATTATCTCAATTTACAGTAGAGTTTGAGATAATAGACAAATAGCTCCATTGGATTTTTTGGTAGCAAAAAACACCATTACGATGTACTGAATCGCAGTGAATATGTAATATTACTGTATTTATTATTGATATTACTCGACATTATGCACGTGTATTATTCCCAACAAACTCGCACAAGTTAATTTTGCATAAGCATAATTTCCTGAAAGCCGAGTTGTTGGTAATAATCCAAGGACATTCGATAAAATATTTATCTACCGCTATCGATAATACAAGGGTCGACGATTATATTATTTTTCACTTTAATTGGATGGAAAATCATTGAATTCGTTTTTTTCCTTGACAGAGTTAATCAAGAAGGTTATTACCGAAATTAGTGATTTATTTTTTGTTTCGATGAACTTATTGAGTAATTTCTGTTACATACATCTAATCTTCTTAGATGATCTTGTGTTTCTCACAGATTTTTTCTCTTAATTAGTTGGACGTAACATTTCGCAAATTAGCGCCATTTTTGAATATGTTCGACTTTTTTTAACACCAAACAAGGACGATGAAATCTAACAATAGCGCTAAGCAAGGTCTTGCAAGCTATTGAAGGTTGCATTTTTTCAATCGCCAATACGAGATACAGATTTCTCGTTTTGTTACAAATATATTTAGAAGACAAACATTAAAAAGGTGCAAGTATTTGTTTTAAGTGATGGAAAATAGAATGGTTACCGTAGAGGTCTATTAGATTAATTGTTAGAAAGTTTAAATCATTTTTCGGTGTTTTTTACGAGTTTTTTACTTTAAAACATGTTTTTAAGTGAGTGGTTATAAATAATAAATCTATATTGCTAGACTTTTTTTATTTATTACAAACGATTAACTTTAACATATTTGTTCTTGATGTGACGGAAGATGTTTGTAAGAGTAGCTATATTTCCATATATTGGTATCTATATAATTCTTTCCCCAAAGCTGTTTTCAGCAACACTAGAAGAAATCTTTGGATTGGACCAACAAAGGATTAAAAATAGATGGAGAATATTTTAAACATCTGATAATGGTTGAATAAGTCTGCTTTAATAGGAGGGTTAAGGTATTTTATCACAAATTAATGAAACAGGCCAAACTAAGAATTTATTACAAGTTACCAGTCCAGTATATATATATGTATAATCATCAATATGAACATATCTATACAGGGTCCGGCAATAGTGCGTCGGGCATCTGTAGCTCCTAGAATAAACAACTTGAGAATTTTGTTTAAGTGCATACCTGAAGTATGTACCAGGATGTATGTCAGGAAAATATTTTAACTTCTATAGAGTGGCTCAAAAAAGTGTGAGTGGACCTGGATGATTTTTTTTAAATGGAACACCCTGTATATTATTACATTTTTGGCTTCCTTTCCGAACACTTTACATAACCCTAAGATATGAATAAATACATTTTGATAGTTTCAGAGATATTAAAAAATAAATCAAAAATATATATTTTTTCAGCCCTTTTTAAAAAAATTATTAAAAATACAAAAACTGTTCTGAAAACAAAACTATATTAGGTATTTACTTTAGATGGTCTGTACTTACTTTGCTATAAATAAGAAAATCGTAAATTATACAGGATGTTCAAAATTCTAAGCCAAACTTTCTAAAATATAAAATAATTTTTCTTCTTCGTTTTTTAAATGGAACACCATGTATATATTTTTTTCAATAGACGGAAAATTAAAAAATGAACATTTTTTATATTTAGAGTATTTCAAAATATTTAACGGTTTCGCAGATATTTGCGGTTTTATATTTCATATGGCATTTTCCACAGTAACTTTTTATCAAAGCCACCCAGCAATTTTTCTCTCGTATTTTACCATTGAAAGCGCCATATGAAATAATACTGCGTGTATCTGCGAAACCGTTAAAAATTTTGAAATACTCTAAATACAATAAATGTTCATTTTTAAACTCTCCATCTAATAAAAAATAATATACAGCGTGTTCCATTTAAAAAAACAAAGAAAAAATATTTTATATTTTAGATAGTTTGGCGTAGAATATTGAACATCCTGTATGAATTACGATTACCATATTTATAGCAAAGTAAGAACAGACTATCTAAAATAAATACCTAATATCGTTTTGATTTCAGAACAGTTCTTGTATTTTTAATAATCTTTTTAAGAAGGGCTGAAAAATATATATTTTTAATTTATTTTTTGATATCTCTGAAATTATGGAAATATATTTATTCATATCTTAGGGTTATGTAAAGTGACCTGAAAGGAAGCCAAAAATGCAATAATATACAGGGTGTTCCATTTAAAAAAAAAATCATCCAGGTCCGCTCACACTTTTTTGAGCCACCCTATAGAAGTTAAAATATTTTCCTGAAATACATCCTGGTACATAGGTACTTTAGGTTTGCACTAAAACAAAATTCTCAATTTTTTTATTCTAGGAGCTACAGATGCCCGACGCACTATTGCCGGACCCTGTATAGAATATTTTCAAGGGGATAGAATATGTGTAATATATTTATAGAGAAAAATACATTGTATTTGAAATAAATATTATAATACCGTCTTTCTAAACATAATCGCATTTAAAATATGTATTGACAAAGTCTTAATTTGCGTTTCTTGTTTTCTAGTGCAATGATTCAGTTCATTCCACTTTTTAGCAGAACAGTGGAAAATTTTACATTTCTTAATAAGAAATGTTAACCGATAAAGATTAGTGGGCTGAATCCTGGTTTATTTTTCTAATGGAAGTTTTTGTACAAATTTTTATTATTTAAGCAAGATATTTCTCAAGTCATTCATGACCACGTTTATTTTTTTATAATTAAGTCGTCAAAAAGATCAGAATTTTTTTTTATTCTTAAATTAAACGAAAAAATTCCGACTTTCATAACCTTAGATCAATTATAGACGTGATTGGAAAATAACAGTACATAAATTAGTTAATACTAAAGTACTTCTTTTATGGCTGTAGATACATGTATTTAATATAAAAATGTTAATTTAATTAGCTTTTACAGTTTGTATCTAAGAAATTCTAAAATTAATTTAACTTAGTTTTAGACTAGAGAGTCTAAAAAAAAACTTAAGGATTAGGTTATAACTTCAATTAATTGAAGTATAAACAATAATAATATAAAATAAGAGTTATTAGAAAAACGGTGTATCACAATTTTTCAATCCTTTTTGTTTTCGACTTCATAAGACCAGAAGTTTTGAAACGCTATTCCAGCTACTAAATTGTAACCCGCATTTTCTTCTTTATGATATTTTTAAGTTAAAGAGCAATTTTTATTTCTTTTTCATTTTTAAACAAATTGAAAAATCTTCCCTCAAACACAACTTACCTACCGTAAGTCGCTGCTTTAGTAAGGCTGGGTTTTTCCTTTCAATAGCACCCTAATAAACATAGATTAAACTACCGAAGCTGGCGGATCAAGGGGTCTTCCAACTTCAGGTCTGCGAAAAATGTGATCCTTATACTCATCTCTCTCCAACACATTATTTGTTATGGGATTATTCTTTTTTATGCATTTTTTATGCTATATACATCGTTGTATTTGGGACGTCATAAGCTTTTAAAAAATGAAATGAAATATGATGATGGTATCTAGCAAGCGAAACGTTAGAGAGAAAATCTAGTAATATCAACTTGTAGAGCTGGAAATATAGCAAGAGGATTGTGGAAAAAATAAAAACGAATTCATTAAATTTCGGGTTTATCCAAAAATTTTCGAAAATAATTGAGTTTTTATAGATCTAGAAACATAACATTCTAGGGTTCAGCAAGGCGTAACATTTCTTTAATATAATCATATTTGGATCCCTACTGGGTTATGAGATCCCTGTAGTATACTTCTGTATATTGGACACAGTATATACAATTTAAAAATCAACTGTACTTTGTTTTTAGGGTTTCTCGCACAAAATTATTAAGATCGATTTTTTACATCTTATATGAAAATTGGTTTTAGAACATCAACAGTTTGATCTCGATACCCTATTATGCTATTGTTAATATTTGCCGATGTCTATCATCGATGTTTCTCGTACCTCTCCCATTATTACTCTCTGTCAGACCCTGTAATCCCGTCTCTTTCTTGCAGATTACGTAGCAGGCGGCGAATTATTCACGCATCTGTATCAAAGGGAACATTTCACCGAAGACGAGGTCCGGATATACATAGGAGAAATTATATTGGCCCTGGAGAAACTGCATGCGGTAAGTCTTTAATTGGCTTAGTCTTTTGAACTTTAGTTTGAAAATTATAGACTCAATCATAGATAGATTGGCGCAGATTAACAATTAATTGGTTAGACACACTCAGGGACATAAAGTTTTGATTTTTACTTAAGTTATTTCTAAATATCCTATTGAATATTATGGTATTGAGATGATAAATGAATAAGAAATTGATAAATTAGGAATTATTTAATTATTCTTATCTATTTTGCATATTTCTTTATGATTTGATGGTGTTCTTGATAGATGATAGATCTACATCTATCCTTGCATGGTGTGACAGAAAAAAGAATAAAAATTCAGATAATTACATTTTATTCTTTCACGTTCATCTATTTGATACCGATTTTTGTAAAATATTTTTGATATTAAAATTATCTTAGACACAAAAAGACCTTGAATTATTTATTATAACGGCATATAAGTGGTGTGTTAAATAATGCGGATATTAAAACACAGTATAAAATGAATAATTGCGGTACTATATATTTTTTCTGTTAGAGTTTTATCTTAACATCTGAGATTTATCTTGTATTATGTCTAACTTGAACAACCCATTTATTTTATTATTGTAGAGAAACAACCTTTCTTTAATTATCAGAATTGTCTAGGACATAGGTTCATATATTACTATTATTTTTTTGGGTTTTAAATGTTACTGGATTAAAAAGTAACTTTATCCTTGACTTTAACATAAAAAACTGGATACGCCATAAGGAAGAAAGGGGAAATATATGTACATTAGTTTAGAATGGTTTCCAAATTTTCCGATTGTCCTGTTCAAAAAGTGGACATTATTATTGGGTAAATAAGATTACGAGAATAACATTTATTTTCCAATACAGATAAATCTAAAGTTTTTATTTATTGGTGTAATTTGTCAACTTCCAAAACATGTGTCTGATTTTTTATAAAAGTTGGGAGTTAATCCAGTATTAGTCCATTACTCAGATTATTTCCAATAGAAACATCGAACACCCAAAACTCATTTTTTCTTAAAATGTCTTAAAGAAATATTTAAAGTGATAAATAGACAGGAATTTTTAGTGACCATCGCATCGTCAGACTAAGTATCGAAAAAATCTAAAGTATGGTTATTCTTTTCCAACTTCATTCATTACCAAATACATATAGGGTAAAAACTACATGAAAATTAATATAATGTACAGGGTGATTCAAATTTGATGTGTTGGGCTAATGCCACGTAAATGGTAATTAGAATTCCAACGTTGGTAGATGGGATCTAATTAAGACTTATTAATCTATTTTATAGTGCCATACGATCGAAAAAAAAACGGCATCAGCGATGTCTGTCATTTCATATGTAAAATTATATGGGGAATGTCATGGATGGTCATATCTAAGCTAACTGGACGTTTGTTTCCATCATACGTATATATTATATAGAAATTTGACGAATGTGACGTCATAAAACCTATTTTGCCTTACCATACTGTAGGTAGTATATACTATAGGTAGAATTTGTTAAATCACCTATATGACAAACAAAAATTGCCTTGTACAGGGTGGGTCAAATTCGACGCTTTTAAATGGAAACACCCTTTTCTATAGGAGATAGACAAAAACTAATATTGGTGTCTGGAGCTCAATTTTTGTCAAAAACATGATGGTGAAAACCGCATATCGATATCTGTTACCGTTTCGGAGTGTTTTTCAAAAATATGCATTTTTAACAAATCGCTGTAACTTTTTTGCTATGGAAAATTTTGTATTTTTAGGAAAACATTTCCGAAGCACCTTTTTACGTAGAATTTAATGGTTTAAGTATAATTTTTTTTAAATTAATAATTTAAGAATCATCAACAGAAAATTTGATTTTTCATATGAGACACCCTGTATATGTTTAATTTATTGAAAAGATTTTAAAATTACCTTTCCAAAAATGTAACCCACTTGATATTTTTCTCGATTCCTCTTCGAGATATAGAGTATACAAAAATTCGCCCTCTTTAAATAAGTAGGCTTTGAATGGCACCCGCTGTAATGCAAAAAAATTCTAGCTGTGAGCATCAATTAAAACGAAAATAATATTTGCAATGAGAGATGCAGAATTTTATAACAATATAAAATATATTTAACCAAAATCAACACATTTAAACTATATCTGATAACAATAAAAATAAATAGCAAACCAAGACATGAGATTTTGCTGCAGGTGTTCGACCGTCTTCTGTTATATCGACCATCTTCTGTTATGGACAGATGAGGCCGTTTCTGAACATTTCTCGCGGAATTCATTAACTCAGTAGGGGTGAAAGATACCCTCTCATAACTGTTAAGTATTTCTAATTCTTGTCTAGATTATACGGAAGAATAAGAAACCTTTATTCTTCCGAAAATATATCCATAGGATTAGATCCATGGGCACTAAGTCAGGTGGCCTCGACGGCCAACGGCTGGGATCTTGGTTAGCTATGCAATTATTCTTGAAATTGGCTGCAAAAATTTGCTGATAACTTCAGCGTTCTGAGGCGGCGCCTCTTCTTGCTGGAAAAATATGTTTTCGAGTTCCATTAAGGGCATATCATCAATAAGGGGTTCAAAGCCTACTAGTTAAAAGTGGCGAACTTTTAAAAAGTCTGTATTTCGAAGGAAAATATAACAAAATATCAAGTGTGCTATATTTTTGGAAAGGTAATTTTAAATTCTTTTCGTTTAATTAAAAATATAGAGGGTGTCCCAAATAAAAAACCAATTTTTCTGTTGATAACTCTTAAATTATTAATTTTAAAAAAATTATACTTATATCATTAAATTCTACGTAAAAAGGTGCTTTGGAAATGTTTTCATAGAAATGCAAAATTTTCCATAGCAAAAAAGTTACAGCGATTTGTTAAAAATGCACATTTTTGAAAAACACCCCGTAACTCCGAAACGGTAACAGATACTGATGTGCCACCATCATGGATTTTGATGAAAATTGAGCTCCAGACACCGATATTAGTTTTCGTCTATCTGCTATAGAAAAGGGTGTTTCCATTTAAAAGCGTCGAATTTGACCCACCCTGTACAGCCTCTCAAATAGTGCTGTTCGGATTCGGCGATAAACTGTAGGTCTCGTCTACTTGTGGAACACTGATGACATACATCACAAATACGTACGATAAAATGTACGAATAAAACACTAATTAACCACTATACACCAAAACACTTTTAATACAGGATCCGCGTCTCGCTAACCATGTTAGCATCATCAGCAGATGATTAAAACTGTATTATTTATTAATATTTAGTTTTAATCTAGTGATGATGCTAACATATTGAGAGAAACCCGCGTCCAGTGTTAAAAGCCAAGTATTTTGGTGTATTGGGGTGAATTAGTGTTTTATTTTGCTGTCGTAACCCCAAAGAGTCCAACTTCCAACTCTAATCTGCTAACCACACTGTCGTGTTTATTATTATTTAAGTAATTGCAAAAAATAAGTATTCGGTTACTGCATAATATTTCTGTAGAAAGTTTAAAACTAGGGTAACTAAATAAATATATCTTCGCTCAAACTATCCCATAACATTATTTTTATTTAGTTTGCTATGCCGTAAGCGTTTCTCATTAATAACACGTGTCAAAGCTACGCCGGCCTTGAAAAGGGTTACCACATTGAAACCTGACAACAACAGCAAATCCGTCTGAAATCTAGTTCGCCGTTATTTTTCGCAACAATTATAATCGGCGTAAACAGGGGCGTGACTATTCCGCAAATAAACAACGCGGAGGCAACTCTAATGCTAAGCTCGTTCGTTCGGCATTGCTCGATTCCGGAATCTATTTATCTCCCCATAGCGGCGCGCTAAGCGTTCATATACGTTATAATTAGTCGAGAAACTACTTTATGCAAGTTGATGGTTTACGTCCTTGACGTATTTCGAACCAATTAAAGGTACATGCGTTTTGCGTAGGAATATGAATTGGCTTTGTGGTAAAGTCTGGACAGGAAAAAATAAACGGGAAGCTGCTATCTTTCTTTGATTGCGTATTAAAGGGGAATATATATTTAATGGGAAAAGTGGATAAGTAATCTGGATCACATAAGTAATTACTCTCATTCACAAAAAGGGTGATAACACCAGACTCGACAAATCGCTTGTCAAACAAATTCAACTTCTATCAACCCCCGGAACAGGCAGGGTTTAGAAGTGGATATAGTACTGTGGATCACCTTCAGGCAGTCCGCACTCTCATAGAGAAAAGCACTGAATACAACTTCCCTATATATGTCGCCTTTGTGGATTATGAGAAGGCTTTCGACTCTATAGAGCTACACGCCATCCTCGATGTCCTACAAAATGCCAGAATAGACTACAGATACTCGGGCATAATATAATCTATTTTATTGAGTTCAAATCAGCTACAATGACTATCAAACTGGATGACATAAATATCATAAATAAAATTAAAATGGAAAGAGGAGTCCGACAGGGAGATACTATTTCCCCCAAACTTTTTACACTGGCCCTGGAGGACGTATTTAAGAAGCTGAACTGGGACAAGAAGGGTATTAAGGTAGATGGTGGGATGCTTAACCACTTGCGCTTCGCTGATGATGTCGTTGTCCTGGCCTCATCGTTGGAAGAACTTCAAACAAGGCTCGAACAACTTCACCACACATCTGCGCAAGTAGGTTTAAAAATGAATTTGTCTAAAACTAAAACCAACTCACAACCTAAATGAAAATGAAGAGCAAGTTAATGTTAATGGACAAAGGATTGAGAACGTTAAAGAGTATATATATCTAGGTCATGCCATAAAACTCGGCAAGGAAAATCAAACAATCGAAATTTCTAGAAGGATCAAACTCGGATGGGCAGCTTTTGGTAAACTTAACTTTATATTCAAAAGCAAAATCCCAAATAGCCTAAAAAGAGACGTTTACAACAAATGCCTGTCATGGTTTGGAGACTATGACGATGACGGCACGAAGTGTGAACAGGTTGCGAGTGAGCTATGGAAAGAGCCATGA